AAAAAAAAAAAAAAATTATGGCATTTGCCTACTGAGGCAGAATTCCATATAAAAATATTTGCATTGCCTGTCAACAGGTCACACCCGATCTGGTTCCTTCCCCAGGTGTACTCTGGAAGTCATCCCAGGAGGGCAAAGGGGCCCAACGCTTTTGGAAAAACTGGCTGAGTCTGCAGCCAAACACTGTCTTTCATCCAAGACCTCCCTGAGCAAACCGCCCACCATCAGCTGCAGTTAGGTGAGTACTGGCTACAGCCGAAAGGATGTGAAGGCCACTGCCTTCCCCAGGAAAGGGAGCTGCCGACCTTCCCAGAAGGCAGAGGAAGAGACTCACTTGGCAAAGTTTCTCCCACTGCTTAGCCCCAGAGAGATACCCACCCCTTCGCGGCCCTGGCTCTCGGAAGCAAGTACAAGATGTGAAGGAAGCCGGAATGTGTCACTCCTGCCACGCAAAGAGTGAAGGGATTTGTTGTACAGCCACTACCTGGATGAGCAGGCACACCCTTGGTGAGAAAACCAAATGCCGAGCCACCAAGCCCGTGCATGCTCCTATTTACCTCTAAGCAGGTCCCATTGAGCCCTGGGCACTTGGCTTAATTACTCCCTGGATCAAAGGTAAATTAAATTACCCAACAAGCTGCTTTTCGAGGAGAGAGAGAGATGCACAGGCTAACTCACCTTCCAGAAGCTATCCACTTTGCCATACACCAGGGACTGGTTCTGCCTTTTGATTTCATTGATGTGGCGGATGTCGCTCGAGTTCAGGTGCTGCTCGACCACAAACCCCAGGAAGCTGTTGTCTGGGGTGTGCGCTGATATGGAGAGGAAAGGAGAGGATTAGGGTTAATCAGCAAGAAGAAACAACAATTATAAATGCGACCCAGGCCATCTCACCATCATTAATGTTTTCACGTCACCCTGCTCTTCCTTACCTGAGGCGGGTGAGGGATGGCTCTCCCCCACACGTCCCAGCAAAACCTTCACATAGAAGTAATTCTCCCCAGGATGGATTAACCTGAACCAAATCCTGCTATTTTTAGGGGAAAAATCCATCTGCCTAAAAATCATTAAGCTGTACGCCCTCCTCAGGGCAAGGTTACCGTCTGTCTCCTGGCAGAAATGCCCTCGTCCGGGTGTCAAAGGCCAGACGTGCAGGAGCCGAATCAGACTTTCTGCACGGGGTAGGCCCCACAGAGTCAGCCCTGACTCCAGCCACTTGGGGACAGAGCAAGCAGTGCCCCCCCTCAACCTTTCATCTCCTCTAAGAACTACTCACCAATAAAAGATGTAATTATGGGCTATACCGAGCAGGTTCCTGGAAAGACGGCAGAATAAAAGGCCAAACTCCCTGGGGCACAAACTACTCCAAAAAACCAACCACTGCAAAGGAACAGCGTCTACAGGGTAGACTATTCTGGGTTTCCCTCATTTGAGTTCTACAGCTTCGTTATTAAAAGAAGTTAGAACACTTGACTAAGGGGGAAGGCAACTTCACACCCTCCCCAAACATTTGTATCTTGTGCCGATAATTTTAAAAGAATGTCACCAGGAGGTAAGAATCAGGCAACAATTCTCTCTAGATGAAGCACAGACTCCTCCACCTTCATTCTGTCCAGAGAACTGTCAGCGTTTCAGGAGATGGTGCTGCAGAGGCCGCATATGGCCGATACTAAACGAAGCAAGTGCACGGCTTCACTCTGACCTGGATAGAACGGCTATAAATAACACGAAACCGAATTCCTCCTGGTAATTAAGATACACTAGAGATTCCGTCCAGTCCACACTGCAGCGTTAGCCACGTGCATTCCAAGGTGGGTGGACGACAAACGGAAGATGCTGGTCCCTTCAGCTTGTCCTGGTTCCCAGGACTGAGGCACCCGTTCCCAGGCAGGGTGGTGGCACAGAAGCCCCTCAAGACAGAGGGAAGGACAGAGGCAGGTGGGCCTCCAGCCCGGGCCTAGGAATCGGGTGCCCCGGCTCCACCCTCACCCACCCTGCGTGCAGGGGAACCAGATGAAGAGGGAGGCTGGCAGGAAGCCCTGAGCTGGGCAGGTGCACGAGCCGTGTTGTCATTCGTCGTCTCCCAGGCTTCTGCCTGATGGGGGTGACAGAACGAGGAGATAATGGGGTTGTGGCTGGGGACTTGTGTTCGGTCTGGTCAATCTGTTATTTCATTTCTGCATTTTTGAACAAGCGCCCAGAGGCAATGGCAATGGCTGCAGTTGGCTGAAAAATAAATTACTGAATAAATTCTACCGCCAGCAAGAGGCGATGGCTGCTTTTTTTCCCTTTTTGAGGAGCTGAGGGCAGGAGGGATTTGAGGAATACAGGGAGGGGAAGAGAGCCTGTGCGAGCTCCTGGTGTCATTAGGCAGCTTAGAATATGTCTTGGTAAAAATTTCTGTTGGTCCCACAAATTTTGAACTAGAATCTGACACTCTGTACTTCGGGATCGTGTTTTCTATTTTCAGGAAATTTATGAGGTGATTAAAGCTCCGTGCTTTAGGTATCTGTTTCCACAGTTCAGGTATTTGGTCCCTTTGGGGGCACTTAAAAAAAATACTCTGGCATGTAAAATACTCAACAGGTCTTATTTCACATTATAATGTACTAAGGCATAGTCAAAAATAAAATGACTGTTAAACCCAAAAAAGAAAAAAAAGCACATATACGTACATATTTTTGTGTTAAAGGTTCCCCTAAGCTTCTAGCTTGAATGGTGAGAGGAAAGGGAAGAAATAATCTAGTTAAAAAACTTGAACAGTGGGCTTTGCTGCATTACGACTGCAGTTTGATACTAAATCAGTGTTGACGCTGTATGAAAGAATGGATCACACACCCAAGCTCTCCCTAAGTTTCCATCCACACACTTAACTCAACGCCCGTCTCCCCTTGTGAGATGTTCACTTGGGGATCAATAGCCTAGAAGTGCAGTTTAAGGACCTCAGGTGAGGCTTAAGGAGACCTACAGGTGGTGCTTACAAACAGCACCCCCGCATTTGACGGGCCGAGGCCTGGGCACCACGCACACCTCTCCACGTCTCTCTCCCCACAGGTAACTCTCAATTTGCCACAGGACACGGAGCCTCGGCACCAGGACGGTTTGCTCAGCTGTGACTTGTCCCAGCAGGTGATTCTGAAGTAACCACAAGCCTGAGTGGCTCGCTCCCAAGGAGCTGGCCACCAGCTGGTGCCTGCTTGGTAATATCTGTAGAGAGCGCCCTCGTCCTCAAACAAGGGTTCCTAACATTGCTCATAATAAATCAAAAGCCACAAGTTCAGGCTGATGCTATATGAAATGACCCTTTCATTGAGATCAAACCCCAAACTAAGCTTTCTCTTTTGCTCTGTCTTAAGATGGGAACATAGATCTGAGTTGTCTTGGGAGGGTTTCAAAGAAAAAGTATTTACATTTCAAGGTAAATCAAAGAAATACCATCATAAATGGGATGCAGGAAATCATTCCAACCCAGAAGATAAACAAATGTGATTTTTTTTTTTTAAAAAAAGCTGATATTTGAGCTCTGACCACATGCCAAGTTCCGTGCTAAGCGTGTTACACTGACTTTCATGTTATCCTCACGACCACCTTATAAAATGTTTGTACAGATGAGAAAGAGTTAAACCCCCCAAGTCTACATGCTAGGCAATGGCACCGCTGGGATTCAGAGCCAGCTTGGCTGGTGCCAGGGCCCGAGCTCCTTAAGCTACTCTCATATACAGCCTGGTAGTCCAAATATTTTATTTTCTGGGCCTTGTGAACTATAATAATAAACCACGCTTCTGAGGAAAATGTTATAAGGTAGACCAAATACATATGAGAGACCCAGAATATCTACATAGTGTGACCTCAGTTTCTCGAGCAACTTGTGTCATATGTGCGTGGGACCACACTGATCTTTTCACAGGCTACAAACTGCAGGAGATTTGCTAAACATTAACAATAATTTCAAAATAGCTTAGGACAAACATCTTTTCTTATTAAGAAAGGCACTATTTTAAGCACTTTGGAAGCACCTATTTAGAAATGATTACGAATCAGCTTGATGTGTTCCCTGAGCAGATTACGGTGATGATTACTTTTAAGAAATACTATTAGCTTAGTTTGAATAATTCAACAACGTTTTGGAGCACTCTTTCTACAAACCAGGTTATATGCTAAGTATTGATGAATCGCAACCTAAAGATGAGTTCCTTCTTTCAAAGAGCTTACCAACTACTTAATAAATGAAGTATACACTATGTATCAAACAGTAATAATGTCTTCTTTTAAAACACAATTCAAAATGTTTAAGTTAAATTGACCTTTCCTTCAATTGTGTAAGTCTACAAGGTCTGTTTTCTCTAGCAGTAAGTCCCAAACGTCTCTGAGAATGTTGTGTATCCCCACACCACCCGGTCGCCAAGGGCAGAAACCCCAGCACCAGCCTGGCTCACTCCTCAGCCCTCAGGCAGCCAGCAGGTCGCAAGGACTTAGCTTCTCAAAACCATAAATTCATTTCCTCATCTCCACCCTTCTCAGTTCAGGCCTCATCCGCTCTTGCCAGGGGTTCTGCAATAAACAAGCTTTTCTTTCTCCTAAACATAAATGGTTTTATCGCATTTCCCAATTATAACAGAAATACATCCTCAGTGTAAAACTTTTTTTTCAGATTACAGAGAAAGATATAAGGGAAAAAAGAAGTTACCCATCCTTTCACCACCTAGAAATAACTAATATCAGTGGGATCAGTGGGCGTCCCCCGCCACCACCAGGCTTAGGGATCTTTTTCTTTTTATCTTCAAACTAAAGTTGGGTCCTACTACACGACTCTTTTGTAAACTTTTTTTCACTTATGCAACATGCCATAGATATCTTTTCAGGTAATAACCACAGCTCATCACACTTGTTAAAACAGTACAATACTTCATGGCCTGATGTGCCTGGACTCACCCCAACAGATGTGGACACGCTATGGCTCTGGTCTGCCACCGTCTCTGTGTGGGACTAACCACCCCTCCCCCAAGCCATGCAATTCTGTTCCCAATAGGTGGTTGGGGTGGTGCCAATCCCGACCCTGACCACCCTCCCCCCACCTCTCCACACCTCCACAGATGGGCACATAACCCAGAGGACTCCACCCAGCCATGGCTCAGTTGAAAGACGCGTTTACAATCCAAGTCCCATCACTCAGTTTTCTCCTTGACTAGTCTGAGCTACCACTGAAGTCAAGTCTTTCTGCTAAAGTCACTAAGCTGGTAGGGTGGAAGTCTAGGGCTGCAGGTGGTTCCCCGTGCCCCTGTGATGACAGCCTGTCTCAGAATGACACCAGCCCAGGGAAGTGCAAAGCTGAGATTAAGGGAGGGGAGAAGGGAGGAGGAGGGAGATGGGGGAGAGAGAGAGGTGTTTTCCGAGGCCTGAATCCAGCTAAAGCTGGTTTCAACAATTCCCAGTGACAAGAGCCAACAAACCCTGTGACAAAGCCAATTTGACAGAGATCCCATCTAATACGCCCTCCCACAAGACATTTAGGATGTGTCCAATTTTTGACTACTTAAATCAATGGGTATCATCTATCACGTCACCCTTTTAAACTCTGTAGTGAGTGTCTGAGCAATCTCTGTACCTATGGCCTTGCCTCTTCCTCCCTTCCTGTTCCCCAGCCCCAGGCCAGTCTCCATGCTGCTTGACAAGATATTCTTTGAAACAAATGGGCAGTTTCCTGCTGAAAATCTTCACCTCCTTCAGAACGAAGCAGGGTCCAGCAGAGCTGGCATTCCAGCTTCATTTCCAGACACACCCCACTGATACATAGCTGTGCTCCACGCTGACC